ATTACTCGATACATCGTTTGTATTGGTCCAAACGGACTTCAAGGACGATGAAGATGGTATAGAGTCACCTTGTAGCTAGCCATTACGCATGCTTTGACATATCGCTGAACGCCGAAGTGCCCTTGGTATGTCAGTTGTGTCTTAGTTGATGGGTGGTATAGGTCAGTGTGGTAGGAAATCCGATACTACTTACTCGACTATCAAGAGCCTAAAAACCCAGAGTGGCCCGAGTCCATTCTCTTTCATTTTTTTTTTGTTCTCTTATTTCTTTTCTTATTTTTTGTTTTGGTGGATCCCAGTGACGAAAAAGTGCCTGCACTTAGTTACTCAGTAAAAAAATGCAACAATTACTTCGCTATCCTGACCCTTTCTGCTAGTTAACCTCCGTCCCATTTGACTTCTATGGTCATGGTAATAGTATTATTAGCAGAAAGAAGGAGACACGTTCTCTAAGCTCTGATGGGGTTGGTGCCCTGCTCAGAATTGGGTTACATGCAGAATCTGAAACGACGACAAGCAGCCCTGGATGGAGTCTTTTCCTCCTCCCGGCTTCTTTTGTTTCCTCTTTGCTTCCTGCGGAATTTCGCACATGGCCCGGGCTTCTTTCCAGTTTAGTTAAGTAACTACTCATTCGTGACTGACTAATGAGACTGATTCGAACCTCTCCCCATAGTCGTCCCAAAAGTCGAGTGTGGACTGAACAAATCACAATCGACTGGTAGATATTGTGCCTGACTAGTCAGTCCGTCATCCACGGTTACGGCGCCGATGGGAAAAAAAAACTCCCACTCCATCATTAGATTCATTACCCTACGAATCCCCGGCGCACTAAGCCCATTACTCTCAGGTTCCTTCATGCAGGTACCCCGACAGTGGGCACAGTGGGTGGAAAAGGACCTCGAACTGCTTGTTCTCCGGTGGGGATCCAGGAACAATGATCCATGAAGTGGGCTCGTCACCACTAGTTCAACCACAGAACCGCAAAAACTCAATCATATCATCGGATGTTCGATTTCCCCTTAGTCCCCATTCAGCTTTGGTCTGGTCTGAAGTTTTCCCTCCCGAGGAAACAACAACAACAACAACAAAAAAAAATAGGGGTAAAAATGCCCCAATCTAAACTAGAAGAAAAATAGGCCTAATTGACGGAAGTCCACAAACAAACAAACAAACAAAAGAACCCCCCAAGAAAGAAGATGCTCCATCTCAACCTTGTGTTGGCGAGAACTCGTGCCATTGCATCACACTGCTAATGCAAGTATAATCTAAATACGCCTAATGTCAATTCATTAGAAGTCGGCAGGGCCCTAAGCACAACGCGTTGCTTGAACTACCGTATACTAAACTGCGAAACCACTAACTACTAACCCGCACTTGTTCTATTTTTACGTAGTAAGAAATTCAGGCACAAAATCAACGCGTGATCATGCTTTATTCAAGTGTTTGTAGATTAGCGCTATGTGACCGTCTGGAGTCAACCACTGGGGAAACGGCATTCGCTATATCTCCATGCATGTTGAGAATCCCCAAACATGCTAAACGAGGCGATCTGTCTCAGGTTTGGGGGTCCCCCTTCTCAAACATTAGCTCGACTCGGAGAATTCGCCATATCTGGAACAATCCCACGCTAAGGGTACGTGCTTCGCAGCCCCGGTCCAAGGGTGGGCAGAATAAGGTTTGTGCGATCAAGTTAGGAGTTCGATAGTAGACTCAACGTCGCAGGCTGAAGGTCCGCTCCATCTAGGTACACTCAATACGAGAGGAGTTGCGGTGAGGGTTCTGTCATTCTTCCAACTTGACGCGAGTCAGGAACACTGGAAACATCCTATCACGCCGTCAATAGAGGCGTCCGTTCTCGCAAATAGGGGTCAAGGCGAGCTGGTGAAACGGATTCGCAGTTCGAGGCCACTCGCGTAGTCGGAAGCAACTACAGCCCCTCTCTTCGCGGATAATCGATACTGAGGCAAGCATACGCCCTCAGCCGGAGGCACTATGCACAGCGGTAGCGTGTTTTGAATGTAAGAGGTTCGAGGGAATGTGGACGCGATGCATGTCATGCGTAGTTGTCAGGTGTCATAGGTCAGAATCGACAACTAGCGACGTCCTCTGCCTCTGCCTCTCCCTCTGCCTCTGCCTCTACCGCCGCCCCTGCCTCTGCTGCTTGACCGGCCTGATGCTTGGATAGCGGCTACGTCATGTTTGCTCAGGTTCAGAGTTCCGCCTGCAAACTTTCCGATCGAGGGCCCTCCAACACCACGTTCTCGCCGTTTGTCGCTGTTGGTGTTCGACTTAGGTGCCGGCTTTTCGAGAATAATTCCATTTTCTCTGGCTTCCTTCCGACGCTTGTTTTCTTTCATTTCCGCCTTAGCTTTGATGCCTCTCCGGTGAGAAGATGGCATCATTTGCTTGTACAAGGACTCTTTAGATCCTAGTTCCTGCATCCGCAAATCAAGAGCTTTGATGCGATTCTTGCCGGTCGGAGCAAGATCGGACGCTGAGTCGAGAAGGTGAGATTCCTTAAGGAGACGTTGCAGTGCGAGATCGTTTTTCAGATGGTCCGCATCAATTTCGTTGTCATCGTTGTCATCGTTGTCAACCCCGGTTTCTTTCTTCAGCGTTTTGGTCGTGGTTCGCTCGGAGATTGAGGATGGCGGTTTGGCGGTCTGCACCAGCGTTAGGAGACTCGATTTCAATGGGCCACCAAGTATGTCCTACCATGAAGGCCTTGCGAGCTTTCTTGTCCATCAAGTCCTGAGACTTTACGTCCCGATGCTCAATTACTTGAACTTCCTCTGGTTCTTCTTCGTCTCCGCTCATACCATCCCAATCCGACTCCGCATCGGAAGCCTCCAAGTCTCCCTCGTCGCTTTCATCTTCTGAGTCATCGCTGCGGGCTACCTGACCCCCGGGTACATCCAACGGCTGGAATTGAGCTTCGAAGAATTTGCGGAAAATGTCCTGGGAGGACTCAGCGGTTGTCTGCGGCGTCTCCTCGTCATCTGAAGTTGTAGCTCTCGACACAACGGCCGTGTCCCTCTTCCGTTTCCCAATCATCTTTATTAATCCTTGTATTGCTGAACGAGTGAGCGTCGGGAACCCAAAGCCTAAAGTATAGAAAAGTCACGAGAAAAAAAAAGGCCCATGCGATTGAGATTAAGAACTAGCCGCAAAAATGCGCTTATGTCAGCCGTTATCGTGCGCTGTCACGTGCGATAAGATAGGCCCGACCCCTCGTCGGATTTCACAGATTATAATCGAGTTCGTAGTGTGCCGCGGCAATTCCAAGAAGGCATTGAACAAATCATTGAATCCAAAATGACCAAGTTTCGCCCTTGCATCGATCTCCACTCGGGGCAAGTCAAGCAGATCGTGGGCGGAACCCTAAGCAATGTTGCCGCCGATCTGAAGACGAATTATGTCTCCAAGCTCCCCGCCGGCCACTACGCTGAGTTATATCGGCAGCACGATTTGCGCGGCGGGCATGTCGTGATGCTGGGCCCAGGCAACGATGAGGCAGCACATGAGGCACTCCGAACCTGGCCCAACGGTTTGCAAGTGGCTGGAGGAATCACCGATAAGAACGCTCAGTACTGGATTGACCAGGGTGCCGAGAAGGTGAGCCTCTATGCCTGCACTTGCTGTCTCACAGCGGTATCCAGCCTGCAACTCAGCTGCAGGTATCGCTTCCCTCACGGTACTCTGATGGGATCGATTTTGCTTCATCTACTCTCGCTTTTAAGCCTGGACCTCACTGTGTCTGGCACTAGCAGCGTGCAGCCTTGTCATGACTGACCCGTTCCCGTAGGTGATCATTACATCATTCCTCTTTCCAGAGGGCAAGTTCTCGAAGGAGCGACTTGAAGCCGTTCTTTCTGCCCTTGGAGGCGATCGATCAAAGCTGGTCTTGGATTTGAGCTGCCGTAGAAAGGACAATACCTGGTTTGTAGCCATGAACCGCTGGCAGACCATTACCGAGATGGAGATCAACCAAGGCAAGTCCTGCCCATGAATTCCATTGACCGTCTCGCCCATCCTTGCTCGTATTTCAATAGGCAGGACTGGACAGGTGTTGAATATGCCTGGCGACTGCAGTCCCTGTGCTATCGTTTTGCTACTGTTTGAGTCAGGCTGTAAGACTAACTGAAGCAGAGTCGATCTCATTGCTGGAACCTTACTGCTCCGAGTTTCTCATCCATGCTGCTGATGTAGAGGGGCTGCAGCAGGGTGTTGATGAAGAGCTCATCGCCAAACTAGCCCAGTGGTGCACAATTCCTGTCACCTATGCCGGTGGCGCTCGCAGTTTGCAGGATTTGGAGATGGTTCATGCCAGCAGTCAGGGGAGGGTTGACTTGACCATTGGAAGTGCCTTGGATATCTTTGGTGGCTCTGGGGTGACGTTCGATGAATGTATAGAATGGAACAGGGTGCATTAGGTGGACATCCAGGGAAATACCTCCCAGATCCAGGACAGCCGATTATGTCTGAGCCGATGTACATATATATACGCCCGCAAGCGGCCAGCTGCTGAAATATATACTATTTAGCAACGTTCAATGCTACCATTAATGGTTATCTCTCAACTCAGTTACTCACAAGGTACTATTGTTCTCAACAGACCGCGACATCTTACTGACAGACATATGTAGAACACATAGTATATACCTCTATCTATATCCTAATTCCCCGGTGGAATGACGCGGCCATTCGTCGCAGGTCGAGCAACCGCCGAATGCGGCCTAGCGTTGACCGCTCCAGCACCCGCACCGCCGACTTCCTGGACATCACAGCTTCTCCAACTGAATCTCAGCCCTGCTTCAATTCTATCTCGCTCGCTTCATCTGTCTGCATCTTGCTTGTCTTACAATTAGATCCCGCGCAATACAAGAGTATATTATCTACCTTCAGCCTATTTCAATACAGCTTGACCGGCCCGATTCACTCTTCCTCCTGTCTTTCGTATCGTCAGCCTAAACGCTATCGCCCCCTCCTCAGCCCACAAGATGAAGCCCGTCGTATCTTTGTTGAACGCTTGGTCCTGGTAAATTCAGATCCCTCAAGCTGCAATACCTCAAGTGCCAATTTGAGATAACTGACTGAACATCACTAGCGTGGTCATATCCCTCTTCGCCATCGTCATTCTCTCAGTCCTCGGATCGCTATTCCAAGTATGGCACCTTATCTCACTTCCTACCACGAAACCCCAGCCGCTTCACACCCCGCTCAAAGAAACCGCCCCGACTAACCCCGGACACAAACAGAGAGAACACCACAGCTTCACCGGCGGTGAAGAAGAGCCCGAGAATGGCGCCGCAGTCGCTGCCTCCATCTACACCGCTGTCCTTGTATACGTCGTACGTCCCACCCACCCACATCCATGATTCCCACCCAGCTCCTGCCAGACCAGAAGAGAATCACTCATGACAAATGCTAACATACGGTCTTCTTTCCTCGCTTCCTACAGGCCTTCTTCGTATTCTGCGCCTTCCAGGCCTACCTGCACACGAGAAGCCGCAGGGGCGGCGCCATTTCTTTGAGCTAAATCCACAACACACACCCGGTGTTTCCGAAAATCCCCCCTGCTCTTATGTCTTCCGCAAACCTTATTCCCGCCCTCTACTACGTACCGTGTTTTATATCCCTATCTTGAAATAACGTCGTTTACAACTGCGTGTGGGCTTGCTTTGTCGGGTTCGCGGATCCGGGGGATCATGGTTCTTTGCTGATTTAGGCGCTGGCTGCTGCATCGTTCGACCCCCTTTCCAAAGAAGTTGCGTGCCTGTGTGTCATCTTCCTCTCCGGGGGTAAGAAGATTGAATCACGAGCTGCCTTGCTATACAGGCCGCAGTAGGCGATTTGATTTGGTTTGCTTCTGGTCGTCGGCGGCGGTAGAAGGGGCACTAGAACCGCCGCTATCCGCTTCTTCCTCGAGCGACGTGGCCGATCCTCTTTTCACTCCCATTTTTGGTGATATTGTTCACTTGTTTATTCTTCATAGACCCATGAAGATGGTGTATGGTATGGTATGGTATGTCTGTATATAGTACGTTTAGTCCTGTGAAAGAGCGCGCGTGTTGCTGCGTCCGTGTTGGTAACTTCTGTCCTTGCTTATATATCTCCCCGGCATCCAATCCATCTAGCCATGGCACAAGTCCTTTCTAAACCACCGCCTATGCATTATTGTTGTAGAAGTATAGACTCCAAACCCGCCTCTTTCTTTTCTGATTAGATACAACGCATTCTATAAGTCATTGGCACCCCTGTAAGCAAGTAGGCCATTCATTCACGTCGCTCTTAAAACCCAGCCAAAAAATATGTAAGGTAGAAGGGGGAAAAAAAAACACACAGCCGCCGTAAATCGCTTTTCGTTTCGAACAACAACACTCCTTGAAACGCCCCGATGCGCGGACCAACCCATGGCCCAGAGAAAACAAGCACTTTTGGACAGATAATACAGACCTCGGAAATCTCTTTCAACCGGAGGTAATGGGATCATGAAAACATCAGCGATATGGCTCGTGGAGACATCAGAAGAACTCCTCATCTTCAATTGGGACCAGCGTCTTCGACATGTACGGGCCGTCCAGGGAGTAGCCCAGACGAGCGTAATAGCTGCGGACACCTACGCCGGAGATGACACTGATCTTTTGACTGCCATGCTCCTCACGGGCGATCCGCTCGGCCTCCTCCATGAGCAGGGTGCCGAATCCGCGGTGCTGGAACTTGCGCGGATCACGGCCGTGGAGGGGCACCGCCGAGCCATAGACGTGCAGCTCCCGGACAATACTGGTCTGCTGGCCGGTGAATTCGGGGCGGAAGGTGTGCGTGGCGCTGCACTTGCGGAGGCGCAGAAGACCGATCAGGATATCCTGCTTGGGGTCCTCGTAGGCCAGGAAGGTCTCCCAGCCCCCGTTGGCGTAGTAGTCCCGACGAACCAGCTCCACTTGCGAAGGTCGGATCTTGTTCTTGACCTCATTGATGCCCACCTCTCGGGTCCGGACATCGCGACAGGTCGTTCCGAAGTCCTTCATGCGGGCCAAGGCGAGCTCGCGCAGGTTGCCGTTCTCGACACCGGAAGTGACGAGCGGCATGGGGATGTCGCGCTGGACACGGTAGATACGAGTCCACGGTGGCACTAGGGCAAGAATACGGGCAACGAGGTCGATCAGCGCGTTCGGGGTGTAATTCTTGTACCGACCGGTTCTCCATAGCTCGTAGAGACCGGTTCCACGAATCACAAGGGTGGGGTATAGCTTCAGACCATCGGTCCGGAAAGCTGGGTTTTCGAAGTATTCCTGGAACTGGAAGAGATCGCGCTCCATGCCCACGTTGGGAAGATCGGGCATCATGTGACTGACCACCTTGAAGCCGGCATCCTTGGCGAGCCTGAAGGTTTCCGCCACCGCCGCGACAGTATGGCCTCTGTTCGTGTCCCGGGCAACATCCTCGTACAGACTCTGGACTCCAATCTCCAGTCGCGTGCAGCCATAGCGCAACATACTGCTCAGATGAGTGTCGAGACAGTAGTCCGGACGGGTCTCGATGGTGATACCAACGCACTTTATGTTACTCATCTCACCGGCCTGCACCGCTTCGTCGACGTTGTCTGTTTGATAGCCACTCAGAGCGTTATGAAGCTGGGCCACAAACGATTCTCTGTAGTCTTCCGGAAGAGACATGAACGTTCCACCCATAATGATATATTCCACCTTATCCACGCTGTGGCCGAGGGACTTGATCTGATCAACACGCCCTCGAGCCTGTTCGAAAGGATCATAGCGGGCACGGATGGCGCGCATCGAGGTGGGCTCGTAGCCAGTGTAGGACTGCGTCGAATACTCGAAATCGGAGTCGGGGCCACCGGGGCAATAGACACAGATGTTTCCAGTGTATGCGATATGGGGACAGCGGTGGGGTTTGCTCATGACGGCGACGACGGCAATACCGGAGGAGGTTCCTAGGCGGCCACTGTTTAGTATATGCAGACGGCATACTTCAGGGAGGCACGAAACAACATACGGATTGGTTTGGCAATCAATTTGGGAAGGATATATTTCTTATAATGCTCGGGAACCGCCGCGATGATGGCTGTCAATGGGGGTTGAGTGGACAAGGCATGCTTTTTGGCGATTTGACCCCGCAGCTTGTTGAGGTTGATATCTTTGCGGGGCTTCGTGGGATCCCTCTGTGAATCATGGTCCTGAATTAGGGCATTCGCAATGTCAGAACAAGCTCGCATGAAACGTTCATTCTCTGAGGGAAGTTTGGCATTTTTCTTGGGCTTCGAGGATGGTGGCGGCATAGTCATGGTGACGGTCGCCATCTTGGGTTGGGTTGGAGATGCGGGCGGTCGACGGTCGACGGTCGCGCAAATGAGATTGTGGAATGGAAATTATTCTTCAAATAAGTAGCGGCGACCGTGACGATCGCTCGCTCGCTCGGGGTCCAAGGATATAGTTTAGTGAGTGAGGGATAATAATAATAATTGTAATGATTGGAATAACAACTGGATAAGTGGTGACTTGTGATTTGTGACTCGGGTATGGCACGCGGCAAGCGTGGAAGGAAAAGGGAAAAAAAAGCGGGAGGACCGAGGGTGAGTAAGTAAAGTTGACTGGGGGAGAGAATAGGCAGAGAGAGAGAGACAAAGAGCGAAAACCGACCGCCCGTGACAATTCGGATCCGCTTAAAGCTTTGTCCCGAAAGTTCCCAAATCGCGTTTCTGAACCGGCCTCTTCCCTCTGTATACCCTCTTAATTCAACACTCCTCCTCCCAGGACCACTCACACCTTTTCGAGTGCTTCTTTATCTCCGTCCCCTCTCCTCTCTTTTTTTTCCCTCCCCGGTTTCTTTTTCTCCCCCCTCCAAGCCAAAATGCAGGCCTTCCGCCGTAACACCGCTTCTGCTCTTCGCAATGCTGCTGCCACGCAGCGCCGGGGATACGCAGCTTCAGCTAGCCCCATCTACTCTGAGACCGTCAACAACCTTCGCATCAACTCGGACACCAAGGTGATCTTCCAGGGTTTCACTGGAAAGCAGGGAACGTACGTATTTTGTTCCATTTTTGGCAAGCTTGTCAGGGATATATCGCTGACGTTGCTTTTTCCCATCCGGGTGCAGTTTCCATGCCGAGCAAGCTATCGCCTACGGTATTAATTTCTCCAATCCCTCTCCCTATCTGCGCAAGCGCCAAGCAGATTAGAACCCTCTAAATGGTCACGTACGCGAAACTCACAAATGCCAGGCACCAAGGTCGTTGGTGGAACCAACCCTAAGAAGGCCGGATCCCTGCACCTCGACAGACCCGTTTTCGCCAACGTGAGCGAGGCTGTGAAGGAGACTGGCGCCACTGCTACTGCACTTTTCGTTCCGTAAGAACCCGGTGTTGTTGGACTGAAGATTTCCATGTGAGGTGCTAATGGTTGTAGTCCCCCATTGGCTGCCAAGGGTATCGAGGAGGCCATCGAGGCCGAAATCCCTCTGGCTGTCTGGTACGTACCTTGTTGATCTTTCGGAAAGTGTGTTGGCGCTGATCTTGATATAGTATCACCGAGGGTATTCCCCAGCACGGTATGTCCTCTTAGATAAGCGAGCGCGTTAGATCCCTGTTCGGCTCGGAATACTGATAAACGAGTGCTCAGACATGGTCCGTATCACGGACATCCTGAAGACGCAGAACAAGACCCGTCTGGTGGGTCCTAACTGCCCAGGTATCATTGCTCCCGTAAGTACCCAGCCCAAGCCACTAGTGATCCCTGTAATAACATTTGGTGTTATTCGGTGCGCTAGGGCCAATGCAAGATTGGTATCATGCCCGGATTCATCCACAAGCGTGGCCGTGTCGGTATCGTCTCTCGTTCCGGTACCCTGACCTACGAGGCCGTCAACCAGACCACCCAGGCCGGTCTGGGTCAGTCTCTGGTTGTCGGTATCGGTGGTGACCCCTTCTCCGGAACCAACTTCATCGACTGCTTGAAGATCTTCCTCGAGGACCCCGAGACTGATGGTATCATCATGATCGGTGAGATCGGTGGTAGCGCTGAGGAGGACGCCGCCGAGTTCTTCAAGGCCAACAACAAGTACAACAAGCCTGCTGTTGGTTTCATTGCTGGTATCAGTGCTCCCCCTGGCCGCCGTATGGGTCACGCCGGTGCCATCGTCAGCGGCGGTAAGGGTGGTGCCGACTCGAAGATCTCTGCCCTGGAGAAGGCTGGTGTCATTGTCGAGAGAAGTCCCGCTGCTCTTGGCAAGGCCCTGTTGGCCGAATTCGTCAAGAGGGACCTGGTCTAGATTAAGTGATCATCACTTTGCACCCGGCGGAGATATGACATAATCCTGCAGCGTCTGTTTCTGGATGGTATGAGCGATTTTCTTATCTTTATCAATCAGGCAGACATGTGAAGGAGGTTGTGCTTCCGCTCATCCTTTCCATTTATCATTTAGACGACCTTTTCTCCTTATTTGCCCGAGCCATGGTGGCTGTTCTGTATTTTCTATCTGATCTCTTATCCCCCTCGTCGATACATTTCCTTTGTTTAGAAGATGCAAGGCAGTAATTAGGTCTGGTATGTAAATTTGATTTATTATTCACAGGCCCATGTGCGGGAGAATTCTTGTAGGCACCACCGTTAAATGAGCATCGGCCAAGACGGACGGCTTGTTGATGCGAGTCTCTGCCGCGGGATTCTGGTGTAGATCGGCCTAGCCACACACAAGATGGCCAACCTCTTTGACTTATCCTAGACATGACGCATGGCGCTTCTCGTCTTTATTCGAGGACCACAACAGCAGCGATCTTCACATGAAGGACCCGAAAGCCGTTTAGTCACGGTCGATGCCCGAAAGCTCGATTCTCGGCTTCCCGAGCCTGCCGTCCGACGTCCAGACAACTCCGAGTAGATCCACCAAGTCCAGTACTAATGCAGCAGCCAGTCTCGTGGCCAAAAGGAAAACAATTGTCTACCCTTGAGAAAAACACAGAAAAGAAAAACTCGGATACGCAGCGGATTGGTTGATGTAATGTGGTGTGGGAGAACAGGGTCTCATCAAACAAAGCACTCGTGCTTGCCGAATCATCCTGTACTGACTTCTTGCGACGGTGTCGATCGTGACTCGGGAATTACTTGCTCTCTACTCCCCTGTGCAGGTTGAACGGCTAGAACTATCAGTTAATTCACAGTTAGTTCACAGTTCCTTAGCACACAGGTCAGGTATGGACATTGTTTGCCAGGGTCCTCATGATGACATTGTTCAGAACCAAAAGCACAGGGTCAGTATACTTAGCGGCGGGGCCTTCCATCCCGGTCATACCCTGTAGTACTCTGTAGTACTATAGATCAATATCCAATGACTACTCCGTACGCCATGAACGGAATGAGGGAGGGGTAGGGAGGCTTAGACCAAATTGATTGATTGAACTGCATTTGCCCCTCTCTTCAACCGAATGCCCTGCAGCTGCAGCCAAGACTCGGCGTGGTAGGGGTGTCAGAAGAAGCGCATTCACCACTTGTAGGTAGTTGGCCGAATAGGAGAGTGGAAGATAATGTACTGACTAGGTACGGAGTAAGTACTCCGTACCATCAATCAATTCCCGAGCCAGCAGGGATGTGACATGGGTCCATGGGATGCAAACTGCACACTATATCAATTTGGTTGATCGGTAGCCGTAGCCGCAGATAACGACATACACCTCCAGCGATGGTCAATGAAATATCGAGTCCAACTTGAAGGGGATAAGAACGGGTGATGACTTTTGACATAGTGACGAATAGTGACAAGGGTCCTCTTAGAGAACACCAGTGGCCATGTGGGATCACTTTTGGTCTTATAAAGAATAATACTTACCTATGTTGTGGTGTTGAGAAACGGACCGACTAGGGTGAATAGGGTAGAATAGTGAGCTGCATTGGAGCCATTCATAGTAGGTTAACTAGCGGCACACCCCTTGAGTGTGTGATAACTAAATATGGCCTATCCATGACGGAATCTCTTTTCCAGCTTGATTGTGTTTGAATCAAGTGGGCCACTGACAGTTCCAAGCCACTTCCAATTCACGCGACTTGCAGAACGCGGGCTTGGGACTGAGACACTATTGTCTTGTCATACTCGTGAAGATAGAGGTCGATTGTTGCCAAGGATTGTTGTGATGTGGTTTGCGATAAGACCACTGTGGCTAATTGTCATGCGATGCGGTCCCGTCAATGAGAATGAGTAGTTAGTAGTTAGTAGCATGACGGTGAGCAAGTGCAGGCCCTTTTTACGTGGTATGTATAGTAAGTGTAGTTTGATGGGTGTTTATATCTTTTTCTACTTCATACCCTCCATAGATGTACTTGAAGCTTATCCACAACATATATTGCTATATATATGCTACAACACCGGTGAGATTGAGGCTTCTACTGGTCAATCCAGGAGTATACATATCTGTGGGATACTTGCAATATGTAGTAGTACTGGATGGACTCGAAAAGTCAGGCTCAATCACGGCAAGCCAACCGGGGCTTGGCGCGGGCGGTGTCGATCTGCGCCGCCACCGAACCATCCCTCGAAAGCTCCACTTCTCAAAGTTAACCTCGTTAATCTCTTGAACTAGTCATCTCAGAACCCAATTAGTCCCGAGGATCACACCGTCTATCAATCCTCCCTCCCTCAGTTTATCCCTGATTTCTGCTTTGTTTCTCCCCCTGTTCTGGCCCCCGAGTCTTGTTCGCCAAGATTGACATGGCGGATGATCGGAGGTTCTGGAGAACGAGTACAGTACAGTAGTGCGATTCTCCGACTTTCTTCCGTCACTACCGTCACATCCCATCCATCTTCTCTTATCGCTTGGCCTTCTTTATTCTCTTCTGAAATGAACTGATCCTTGACACATAGGTCACAGGTATCTTACTACAGTTAGTCCAGGTTATTTTACATTCTTAGTTTCTGAACAATGTGATACCGATCTCAGGCCAACAGAAACATGTTTATGTATCTCACCTAATGACGGCCGAGACGAGTTTCCTCCTTGGGAAAACCCCAAGAGCATCAACAGCATCATCGTGCTCCGCAATTGACCGAATGGAGCAATACACTATTTGTGATCTGTCTCTGCCCTGCTCTGTTGTCCGGTGCCCCTCCGCGCCCGCCCGCCCCCCCAAATAGATGATTGCGATTGCGCACATTCAGTGATTTACCGATGCTCGAGAGTCCTCGTCATCACGGGCTATTATTGCATACGCCGCAGTTGGCCCTGTCCATCCGCACTATGCTGTAGATCTTTGTCTTCAATATGGCCTTGCTGTTGAAGACCAGAGAATTGCTTTTATTATCTTTCTACACCCTCCCCCTTTTTCCGGGTCACATAATTAAGCTTAAGGGAGAGGCTAGGCATTAGGCTCCATCCAGGCCGTGATTGCCGCTGAAAATCCACCAGAGCAGAATCCAAACTCCGCGGCGGGCGAAGCTGCATGGAAATCAGATCTTCTAGTCTAACACCTTAGCATGCGGGACCGGCCATCATGTCAAGGCCAAGGCAACACCTCGGAGGCAGTGGGCACCGGTTTTCGGGCTAACCGGACTCTAGCCCTCCCTCCACCCTGAGTGCGAATGGTGCCGATGTAGATCCCCGAGATCCATGCAAATCCTGAGAATGAGGATCTTGCCTATCAATGACCATATCGGTCTCTGCTGTAAATCTTCGTCCATGCCCAAGCCTTCTGGCACTGAAGGGACAAGAATAACAACAGAGCCGAACACATTTGAATATGATCAGATTGTTTGTACTGTACCAACGAATTGCCAGTCGGATCTGCTATTGACAGGCAAAGCCGATGAAAAGCTCAAAGGCATCTCAGATGACAACCACGCCTTGAGGATATTCCGGTCATGAACATGCACGTGAAAGACTCCGGCTCCGTTGGTCAACAGTTTCGCCGGTTATGATCGTCCGTTGCCACAATGACCCGCTGGCCCTGATGCCGCCGTCTCTCAATAGACCGTCCAGATTCCTGAACACTTGCTCCGCTCTTTCTAGATTCTGCGATACATGACAGATGCGCCGGATCCCTGAAACACACCAATCCTATGCTGCAGGTGGATTGCATTCGTCAGCTCCCAGCTTCGAGCGCTAGTCGACGGTCTCGGCAGCCCTCAATGGATTGCAGAGCTCATACTCCTGACCACTCGTCGTCACAACAGCCCCATCTTGTCTCTCCCAGACCCTTGTTGTTCCCACTTCATATCTCCCACTTCCAGCGGCTGCCCAATGGCTTGGATCTGCCCCAATGTGACCTAGCCTCCTGGGTGCCAAGTGAGACTGGTCGGAGACGAAGGTCCCTCCAACTCGGGCCCTCGTGCATGCGATAAGGCTTCTATGTGTTACCCACTTGACTCCCATCTAGGAAGGTCCTCGGATTGACCTCATCCATCAAACATGCTCCGCAGTGGAGATTCCTAGTCCTTTCTTTTGTCGGAGTCCGAGCGCGTTTTGTCCGTGGCATCAACGACATGGAAAACTCCGGGACATATAGTGCACTGGCCTCGCACATTGTCCGTCTGCAGAAACACTCTTCTTGTCTATCCTCTTTGAATTGGGTACTATTGTTTAGCAAGTTGCTTCAGGGCTGGACCTGCAATCAAGCCATAAACATGTCCGTGTCGAGAGAAGATACCACAAAGGTCCCAGAGCCACAACTTTCCTTGGTGGCTTCCTCAACGGATCAAGATTCGGAAAAGGGCTCGATCTCGCGAGACCCATCCACATTCGAGGGACAATCATCTGAGCCTCCACCACATCATATTTTCACTCGGTCTCGCAAATTGCAGATGGTATGCATTGTCTCCATGGCCGCCATATTTTCGCCGTTGTCCTCCAATATCTACTTCCCTGCTTTGGACGATGTATCGAAGGTGTGTATACAGAGCATAATCCATGCAGTGCTCAGACCTTCGAAGATCCAGACATGTTTACTGAATGTGGAACAGTCACTCAATGTCAGCATGACGCTGACGACTCTCACTATCACAATATACATGATTGTCCAAGGCCTCGCGCCGACCTTTTGGGGTTCGCTTTCAGATGCTCTAGGAAGACGCCCTGTCTTCATCGGCACCTTTGTTGTCTACTTAGTAGCAAACATCGCACTAGCCGAGTCCAAGAACTATGGCGAGCTCATGGCATTTCGCGCTCTTCAGGCTGCTGGTAGTGCGGCTACCATTTCCATTGGTAAGGTTGACATTCGGGCTTCACTGCTGCAGCACTCCTAACATTTATCCAGGGGCTGGAGTTATTGGCGACATCACCACTTCCGCAGAACGGGGTAGCTTAGTGGGTATCTTCGGCGGGGGTAAGTAGAATTGATTGCAGATTCAGAAGGATTCCGGTGGCATGTACGCTGACAAGAATGCTAGTCCGCATGCTTGGACAGGGCATTGGCCCAGTCTTTGGTGGTCTGTTGACCCAGTACCTGGGGTATAGGTCTATCTTCTGGTTCCTGACCATTCTTGGAGGCGTGAGTCTAGTGTCAATCCTGGTTCTCCTCCCAGAAACGCTCCGCCCCATTGCTGGCAATGGCACTGTGAAACTTCATGGCCTCCACAGGCCTCTTCTATACCACTTCACGAGCCAGCCCGGTGTCATCGAGGGTGCAGAACCGGGGTCCACAAAGGCGAAGGTGACTTGGCGGACTGTGTGTGCACCACTGAAGTTCCTGGCCGAAAAGGATGTCTTTATCACACTATTCTTTGGGAGTATAGTGTATACTGTATGGAGCATGGTGACATCGAGCACCACGGATCTCTTCAGCGAGGTCTATGGCCTATCGTCTCTTGAAGTAGGCTTGACATTTTTGGGCAACGGTACGTCGAGCTCTCAGCAGACACTACCAGAAATTTCAGATTGCTAACGTCAACAAAACAGGATTTGGATGTATGTCAGGATCTTACCTGGTGGGGTATCTTATGGATTACAACCACCGCGTGACGGAGAGCGAATATTGCGACAAACATGGATATCCGGCGGGCACTCGAATCAATCTCAAATCACACTCGGACTTTCCCATTGAGGTTGCTCGGATGCGAAACACTTGGTGGATAACTGCCATCTTCATCGTGACTACAGCGGTCTATGGCGTGTCTCTCCGCACCCATGTTGCCGTTCCCATTATCTTGCAATACTTCATCGCCTTCTGTGCGACGGGAATCTTCACCATCAACAGCGCGTTGGTCATCGATCTGTATCCCGGAGCAAGCGCCAGCGCAACGGCGGTGAACAACCTGATGCGATGTTTGATAGGAGCTGCAGGTGTGGCGGCTGTACAGCCCATTCTGGAAGCGTTGGGGGCAGACTACACATTTGTCTTACTTGCGGGTATCACATTGGTGATGGTTCCATTGTTGTGGATTGAAGACCGCTGGGGCCCTGGTTGGCGCCACGCCCGGGAGCGGAGGCTCAAAGCACAAATACAATAGACTGTTTTGAGTCTACCGGGCTTCTCTCCATGGGCAATGATATTCGGATGTGCGGGCGCTCAATGGAGTTTGGAGCTGCTTACAGGTTTTTGTGTTGATTCTTATACCACATTGGGGCACATGATGATGGCTCCTGAGTTGTTTTTGGCACGGCGTTGATTATAAATGCTTAAGAGTCTTGAATGGTGCAGATGGTTATATAAGTTATACGATTCGATTCTCTTTTCTTTTTCTGTACTCTTTTTCATTCAATGATATGCATCAATGATATGCATCAATGCTGGCCGATTAAGGTTCATGTAGTCTATAGGCTGAGTGAGTATGAACTATTGACGATAATTTTCAAACATGAAATGAGGTCATAAGCTTGTTGTGTAGTGGCAGGTGAGGTTGGGGCCGAGAACTAATTGGCTTAGTCAGTGAGCTGACGAACCATGGGTCGACGGAAGAGTTGCATCTCTTCAACAACAATATATCATCACACATATGTGCAACGTACATACTGTACTGACTTTAGTGTCGAAGGGAAATACTGGTCAAATCAAACACATTGACTACCCAGAGTGCTGTGAACAGCTCATTTGACCCTAACGCACGCAAGGACTAGCGAAGATTGATTGCATTCTGCAGGGATGTTTTGTTTGGCCGCGAAGAATGCATCTTAGCTAAGCCGCATGGGAGCACGTGACGGGGACCCAAACAACCGCTGCGTTCGTTGCTTGAGAGACGGATTTCTCTGTTTATTCCTCCATCGACCTTCGCCCACTTCGACCCTGCAAACGCGGCCGCTATGAGCCTTCCATAGCCAGTCTGCTGCAGCTCTACGACAAGCCTGTGAATGCCGTGACGACGACAAGATATACAACCTGCTACCTCTTTCTTCTAGCGTTCGTGCCTGCTCTGCGTCTGCTGCGGTGGGGATTCGTGCGGATCGAGGGTGGTTCCGTGAAGGATCAAAACAGACGCCATTGCCCGTGGTTACCACACCAAACCACACCCGTCTCTCACCCAGCAACGTGTGCTGTGTGTAGCAGTACCCGAAAATCTTCCCCTCCCAGTCAATAAAGAGGAATTAAGCAGAATATGCCTCCTGATATGGGTAAGAGACACTGCTTTTCTTCCTGCATGCGACCTGTCTCGGTGGTTCATCGGGCTTTGACCGTTCCGTACCGTCTGTCCCTTGGGGTTTTGGGTTGCTTCCTGCCCTGCTGCTGCTTCATAAGTTTATAAGTTTGGCCGGCTAATCGTGCAGGCACAGTGGGCCGAGCGGCCTCGCAGGCGTCGAGTGTTGCTTCTCAGACAACCCAATTAGTAGCACCACTCAGCCGCCCCGGTACCGCTGATCTCATGCGATCACGATCGGAAACTGTAGTATCAAGGAACAGCCGTCGTCCACGGTCGCGAGGCTCAACGGCTAGCATTCATTCCACCACGACTCAACAGACCCAGGATCAACAGATCACAGACGGATTCCCCCAGTTCTTGCCCACGCAGCCCACCGGTCATAGTGTCTTCGCCAGTAACCCGGAAGAAATCATCATGCGATTCGGACAGCAGCTGTCGCACCAGGTAAACGGCGCATCTCTTGACCCGACGCTGCAAGAGGCCCATCATCCCGTTATGCCGCGTGCTGAGGAGTTCCCGGCCCATGCAATGCACAGTCACCATCTATCCCATCACTCACTGTCGGCCGGTATACCGGCTCACGGCCTCTCTATGCCGATGCCACAGTTTGCGGCTATGTATGATAGTGGGATCGAGAACCATGTGCCGGAGCACGTTCTGGAGGACAATGAAAATTCCGAGGCAGGCGCAAAGAAGAAGAAAGGGTCCAGCTCATCCCTCGCCAACGATAACGAGCTCCGGAAACTACTACGCCAATATGAGGGGTTCACCCTGAAGCAGATGGCAGCTGAGGTCCTGAAGCATGAAGGTGCTGGCGGCAAGGCTGAAAAGGTGAAGCAGGTCTTTGCTATGATCTGGTAAGCAGCGGTTTGATCTTGGACTCTGTCAGCCATGCTCACCTGGCTATAGGTTGAAGGAGAACTGCAGAAAAAGTAGCGGCTCGGTCAGACGTGATCGCGTCTATTGCTGTTACGCCGAGAAATGTGGCACGGAACGTGTCTCGGTGTTGAACCCGGCGTCATTTGGGAAATTGGTTCGAATCATCTTTCCCAATGTTCAGACGAGACGGTTGGGAGTTCGTGGCGAATCAAAGTACCACTACGTGGATTTGACCGTGATTGAGGAGAAACAGCAGAAGCCCCCACCACTAAACCCCCAGTTACCGATAAGTGGAAATGGTTCCACTGGTGTTACGGATACCAAGGTCGAAGACATCATGCAGAAAAGGTATGATACTGTCTTATGCTATTTGACTGACGCAAAATATTGATGAAGCCTGTAGCATCAGCGTCGCAGCCCAACCACCTGCTGATACCGCCGAATTCCCTTCCCCCACAACATCATTCACGCCCAGATTCTCGACCAACACCTCGAATCCGGGTTGTGGTTGTCCAGTCTCATCTTACTCTTATGGTGATTCCGCCATCACCCTGGATAATATGGCAAGCCAAGCCGGCAAAATCATCCATCAAATGCTCGACCTACCTTCATGCGACACGCCTTCCATCGATAATGAAGACCTTCACCTTCCTGATATACAGCAATACCTCCCAGCAAACACGGACCCAAAAATCGCTGCTGCCCTTGCAGCACTTTATCGCTCACATTGTATTTCTGTCATTGACAGTTTCCGATACTGCAAGGAAAAGAACATGCTCCGATATTTCTCGGCCTTCCATGGCACTCTGACAGTTCCTGTGCAGAAGCTCTTGACGCATCCTAACCTTGCACCATGGATCAAGGAATGCGATTGGATCATGTATCAGAAAATGATTGCATTCGTCGCACCGCTCACCACTCAGGTTGTGCCGAAATTGGTTCTGGATGCTTTTTGCTCCATTTCGCAACGGCTGACCGCCCACATTGCGGACACATTCAAGACTCAACCCACACATGTTTCTCTGGCCAGACTGCTCCCAGCGCATATCTTTTGTAATTTACTTAAGCATATGCTTGATGTCAACCAGTCTGCCAACGCGGCTGCCGCATGGCTGTGTCATCCCGATAACAGAAATCAGATGTGGTTCGATTTCAAGACCTTGGTTGACCCCAAAGAAATGATTATGAAAGCCAATATTCCCAGCTGTGCTGAGCGTGCAACTGAACAGATATTGAAGCACGACATTCGATCTCTTCTCACCCCAGTTACAGACATCAACCCATCCACCACTCTCCCCTTCTTCGCCAGGCCTGATACCGAAGAAGACACCAAAGTACACAAATTCCCCGTTGACGAGGCGACCGGCGATGACTACAACTTCCCGGACAAGTGGATTTCTTTCATTCTAAATCTTCCGAGAGCTTTCCCGCATCACCGCACTCAGTGCATAATTGAGAAAGTCGATGCTCTGTGGGATTGCATCCTGCGGCGACTTACCCTGGGAGGCGCTCAAAGTTTCAGCGCTTGGTGGATGACCAAGGTCTTCTTTCATGAAATGATGTTATGGCAAGCTGAAAAGGGAGGGTTTATGCGTTACAAGCCAAGTACTCTGCAACACGCTGGTATGGCTGCGAGCCAGCAAGGGCAGAGTGGATTTCTCATGAAGCCCTCAAACTTACCGGGTCACGAGAGAAGTGACTCGATGATGACAACAGGTTCTCAGCTCGGAGGCGAGGCAAGAGTACGACCGGCTCCCAGCTCCACATCAGCAGAGAGCGTGAGTCAAACTCAGGATTCTCTGCGGCCCCAAGTGGATGCAGAGTCAAACCCTAATGATACCGAAACCGAGAAGCCTACCAATATTCCCGAGAGCATTGCTGGCTTCCATGCTCCGAATAATGACGATAGCGCCATTGATCTTGACGACGACTCGATGTTGATGACCGTGGGTAAATATGGTGATATGATGGCTTCCGACCCAGCGGATGCTGAGGGAGACGTCGTTGTCATATGAATTACCTATACATATTCCTTCGAATTTCTGTTCTTGGATCCAAAATACGAGTTTTCTTTGTTTAAGGGTGGAGTTGGATTCTCTTTTTATATTTCAGGAGTACCATTTTGGTTTAATTATCTGTTTGATGTCTCATCGCCTGAAGAGATTTCACCTTCGGCGTTCGACGATCTTTGCATGAGAGACGAGAAACGAGAGAATCGATTCGAGATAACGTCGGCCTCGATACGTCGTCCTAGCACCAATCACACTGTTGCCTATGGTATCAGGTTGATTTTACCTCTCTCCACACACACACTCCTACCCCAAAGCGTGGTTGATCCCGCTTGGCTCCCTCTTCTGATTGTCCTCTTTTCATCCCTGACTTCTCTCTCCCGATCTCGATAATGCGCACGACCGAGCTACGACTCACCCATCTCTTCCTGTACATACATACGCATACTACTTTCCGATCTGCTGACGAGAGCTAATGTGATCTCTCACAAAACTCGTTGGCTTTGTTTCATGTTGAGGTTGTTGGAAGGTCCTATGTGTTGCTTCACTGGCGCTAGATGGCTCATTTGCTCATTTTTGTCCGAGTTTTACGCATTGGGGACTACCAATCTATCTGTTTGTGTACTCTTGATGTTTAGCCTGTGGGCGGAGGGGCGACTTGTTCACTGAACCATCTGCAGTCGTTGCCTTACTACACATACCATACTTTAATACTTACGAATTTTTTCAAACCGAACAGAATTGCGCTCCTGTAACCCGGCACTTCTCTACGCCTCGCAAGCGGCGGCTCCTTCCAGGTATTCCTTTCCAGCTTTGCTTGTTTGACTCGAGTAGTAGTTAATGTGCATGCACATGGAGAGGTGACTTACTAGGTAGCGTCCACTTCTCGATTAGCCAACCCTCGACCTCGTAAGCCTACTGGAGCCGGAGCCCAATAGTGGCGAACACATGTTGATAGCAAGGCTACGTCACGGAGCAGACCCTTTTGTTTCTCTTTAAAGAAAAAAAAAAAGGAAGACCATTCTGTTTCATTTGTGATCCCACATTAATACAACGCCGGATTTCAGGCACGGGTAACCAGAATACTCGGAACATCGTCTCACCACCTCAGAGGTGTGAAACATACGGATGCATGAAGAACATTTCTATCTAAGTTGGGTATTGTTTTCGATCAGAGGTATGAGTATGGGTATGAGTAGTATGGGTACGAAGGAAGACAAGGGACCAACAAGTCCTGGCTGTGCGTAATGGAATGAAAGGCCAGTTCCTGAGAGTGCCCGAAGGTGGCTTGCGGTGCACATTTGCACAACCGGCAAGCATGAAGCGAACACACAGATCCGTGTGGTGGTGAGAGTTGCACGAAAGAGGTATTATGGGCTCATCTGAGACCTGCGGCTGGGAAGAACCTCGGGCCACCATAGCCGTAAGCAACGATGCTCTGAATGTCTATGTTCTTTCCGCTATGGGGGTTCCACAGCTTGACAAGGATGTATCTTCCTGAGCTGTATGATGGCAACAAGTTAGACACGTAGGGTCTTCTCGAGCGGCAAGACATAGAACTTACGGTGGGGGATCAAACTTGATGCTGACCATGCTCTTGTGTCTGGCAATGTGAAACCGTGCATGGGGTTTCATAAGCGAAGAATCCAGGGGCTGCGAGTCTTCGCAGCGCTGGGGGGGAGGTGTATCGGGCGAATGTGGACGGTGCCTTGGGTGTGCTGCTTCATAGCGACGCCGCATGGCTCGAATCTGCCTTGATAAAGCCCGGCGGCGGCGAGGAAATGTACCCATTTCAGCGAGTTCAGCTTCGCTTAGACTGTCACTGGTGTCCGAACAGATGGCGGCGTCGTCGAACCGATCATACTCCAGACGCTCTATCTCGGTGAGGTAAGGAGTCTCGTCATCATCGTCATTCCGTCCGTGGGCATCCGAACGTGCGTCCGATTGTTCATCGTAATTGGTTATGGTGCGAAACTCCGGTATGGGATCAGGTTCGCCTCCCTCGATGGGCCTCGCGGGGTTATTGTTGTCAGTGTCAGGCGCTTCGGCGTTGAGATTGGATTCGGCCATGTTCCCTCGAATATTCGGCAGGCGAGGCCGGTGCGCATTCAGGTATTCCTGAGATGGCTGCATTCCATTGTGCCGATTTCGCCCAGTCCGTCTGTTCGCCTCACATTGAACATGAGATGCGGCTGTACGAGCCAAAAGGTCGTCAGATGTCATTGAGACAAAAACCATGCCTTCCTGAATCCTACTAACAGAGTCAGCAGCGACATTGACATTTTGAAGCCGCTATCACTTACGGAGCATCATAACCGATTCTCGGCGCCTTGATGACGATCTTCTGCAAACAAAAAGGGATTCCAGCTTGGTGTTTCAAAATCAAGTTGCATCGGTCTGATTTTGTGCAGTACACGGTGGAGTCATTGCGAAGGATGTTCTCGGGCCAGGAGCTTTCTCCGTCCGGTTCGTATGTGCCTCCGTCACAGCTGGCTAACTCCATTCTGAGTGGTCCTGGCACCACCTGGCCATATTGACCGTAACGAAAGTTCTGCAGACCTTCTCTATGATCATCCGTCTCCAACTTGCGACGCTTTGTCCTCCAGTGATCCATTGGGGATTCACTGTCCAATTGCTGCGGCATGACTGTTGGTGACTCGAGACGGGGAACAGGCTCATCCAGCAGAGACGTTTGATTTGCGCCTCTGCTTCTTCTCACGCGACCAATCCGATCCTCCGCTCTGAGAGGACGGAACCTCGGAGTCCTACTGCCAGGTCGGTTCAGGTCAGAAGCACTTGCCGCCGAATTCACCACTGTCACATTCAACGCGTGCGGTCTCTGACCACCAGGACGCACAAGGCCTGCCGTGCTGCTGTTGGCTTGATGTTGATTCCAGATCTGGCGTTCCGCTCGAACTTGTTGAAACTGCCGGTCCAGAGCTGCCCTGGCCTCTTCGGCGATAAACGAGGACCTGCCCCGGTATTCCTCCAACTCCTGGTTTAAAGTTTCAAGCGCACGAGCCGAAATGTCACGGTTACGCTCGGAATTGAGCAGTTCCTGTAGATGTTGTAGACGATTTAAAACAGGGCGTTGCTGTCGGTCGTTGTTGGTACGAGACCCTCGAGAAGGACGGCGGGAGGCGGGAGGATAATCGTAGTTCCCGGACTTGATTTGCAGGACGTCAGAAAGTCAGCATTGCCGATGATACGCGGTATAATGCATTCTCCGCAAATGGCTGTGCGCTACGTACCATCACTTGATGTTAAGAATTAAACCATCCACCGTGGTGATTTGGGGGGAGGGCGTACAGCGGGCAACTATACGGGAACCCGATAACCACGCAAAGGATAAGGGTGCCACACAAGGACAATGCAGAGATAAAACCGGAAGATGAATCAATGAAGGAGGATATGGGGGGAAAGGGGATGAAAGAGAGGGAGACAGAGACTGTGTATATGTGTGAGTAGGAAAGATGAAGTTGAAAGAGTATGTGAACGAGGAGGCAGAGGAAGAAGAAGAAGAAGGAAAGATGACGGATATTGAGAAGGCGAGTGGAGGTGGAGAAAGACCCAAGTGATGGTCCATAATGACGCCCGCCCGCGGGCATTGCCAACTCCCAGCGATAAGCGACGAACTTATCGACTGCCTATCCGGGGGGGACCTCGCACGTGATGACGATAGATAGAAAGATTGCGGAGGAGATGCTGTACTGTACTCTGTACACATTCAACCTTCACATTCACTTTGACTTCCTTCTAATCCCCAACTCGGTTTTCCTTCCCCTCACCCTCATCCACTCCTCTCTCCTCTCTTCTCCATCTCTTCTATCTACTTGTGTCTAATTCCTTAGAGACTGCCCAACCCTTGCTTCCAAGACTGGCCCTCACCCCACCTTTCCCCCCGACCTGCGCGCATCCTTCGTCCGCCTACCCATCAAAAGTCAGCCACCATCCCTTGATTGCTGCGGAATACTATCTCTTCGGTTTGAAAGCGTGTCACTCAACTCAGGTCCATTCACCGTGCAGGACGGGCTCTCTGTCGCGTGAGCTGGAGATTGCCTCTTTTCCCGCATTGTACGTCATTCAACCATGGACTCGCAGCCAGCCCCGGCGCCAGCCCCGGCGATGAGCGCAGGTGTGTTTGGCTCATAACCTCCAAAGATTGTCAGCAATGAATAGCCTCCTAACAGTAGCCGTGGGACGGGAAAGATGAAATCGCGCTCTATGACCGCCAAATCCGTCTCTGGGGAGTAAAAGCTCAAGAAAAGTGAGCTACCTCGGTAGTACCCTCCGTGGCTTGCCCAGCGTATCCTGACCCTCGGTCTTCTCATAGGCTACGATCGGCGAATATTCTACTTATCACTTTCAAAGCTTTGGCGAACGAGGTCGCCAAAAACCTGGTGCTTGCGGGCATCGGTTCTCTTACCATCATCGACCACGAGAGTGTGACGGAGGAGGATCTCGGCGCGCAATTCTTCGTGAATGAGGACTGTGTAGGCCAGAATGTAAGAGTGAACCCTTATCCTCCGTCGAACTCTCATTCAGATGCTGACGCGGTTTTCCAGCGAGCACAAGCTGCAGCACCGGCCATCCGTGCCATGAACCCTCGGGTCCAGCTCCACATTGACACGGAAGATGTTCACCTCAAGCAACCGGAGTACTTTGCCCAATTTGACATCACGATCGCCACCGAACTCGACTTCCACACTTACACGACCATCAATGCCGCCTGTCGGATAGCCAATCGGCCCTTCTACGCCGCCGGCCTGCACGGCTTCTACGGCTTCGTCTTCGCCGATCTGATTTCCCACGACTTTGTGATCGAGCGGTCCAAATCCAACGTGGCATCGGTCACCCAAGAGACCCCAACGCGGAGTATTCTCAACATCACCACCAAGAAGGAGAACGAGAAGGTCATCGAGATGGTGACCAAGCGCGAGGTTTACTCCCCGCTGATCCTGGCCAACACCTCCCCCCTTCCCGAGGAGTTCACGCGTCTGCCCCGCAAACGCAAGCAGGTCACCCCACTCCTCACCTGCCTCCGCGCGCTGTGGGAGTACCAGAAACTCTCCGCCGGCGCGCTCCCGACATTCTCCCACCAAGATCTCGAGGTCTTCACCAAGCTCGCGCGAGACGGCCACCAGGAACTTAAACTGGACATCTCCACCCTCGACGCGGAATTCCTGCGCACCTTCTTGCAGAACCTGAACAGCGAGCTGAGTCCCGTGGCCGCCTTCGTCGGTGGCAGTCTGGCGCAGGATGTGATCAATGTGCTCAGTGCCCGCGAGCAGCCCCTCCAGAACATGCTGCTGTTCGACGGGGAACGGCTGACCGCCCCCATCTATCCCCTGCATCCCATCTTCCCGCCCGAGGTCGACAATCTGCTTCCGGCTGTGATTCCAGTTATAAACCCAATCCCCTTGAACGGGGCACCCGCTCTGGCACCTTGATGAGCCCCGGCCAGCCCCCACAAGCATCCTGTAGAGGATAAAAGAATGCTGAGGCGCAGAAACAGGGAAAGGAATCCACCTTCTGGAGTTTGGTGCCGGAAATGAAAAGGGTCAATTGGGAGTTCTTGTTCCTTGCTTTGGGGCAGTGCGGATCTTTGCATATCTACGCTTGCGCTGTAATGCTCCACGCCTAGCGATTTACCACCAGAGGTAACGACGTGTATGATAGATTTGACAATACTACAGTCGAACACTTTTAAAGCACTACCCATGGCTGTCGACTGTGTGGTTGTTGGAGGTGGCGTGTCTCTCTCAACGTCCTGCGCGCCTGAATATTTAAGACTTTTGGTAAAAGCACGACACTCATAGGTTATATCCCTGAGCCAGTCATCGCCACCTATTTATTGCGCTGCAATGCAACCTCGGACCCAACCCTTTCAAAGACCGGGCCGGACAAGTCATTTGAAACCAGTTTTCCAAGGATTCAATGGTATTCCAAGTAAAGTCCAATGCATTTTGGTAGTCGGAAATGAAATATAAACAGTTCAAGCTTGCTGAAATAGAAGACACCCGAAAGAAAATGATATAGATTTAAACGCCTTAGTATCAATGCGTTGACGTCTCCTTGCCAACGAGAGCAGAGCTTTCCTCGTCGTCCACTTTCCGAGGTCCCATTGTGTTTCTACTGTGCTCCCCGTTGTCTTCCTCATCGGAAATTAGCCCCTGCAGCTCGAACTCCTCGGCGTCATGGACGTGCTGGTTCTCAGATGCCGAGCGGGCGTGGCCGTTCAGAAAGCGGCCATTGGGCTGATTAGGCTTGTAGCCAGGCGCACTTTCGCCGGCATCATCTGCAAAGCTGGAGGAGCGGGAGCGGGACGGTGGCTTTGTGGATTCAGGCCATGCGTGAACAGCGTAGATGTGCAGGAGGACATTAACGACTGAGAGGAAGGATGTTAGAGCAAGGCTTCCGGGCATATCAGTGGGATAGTCAGGTACAACGTACAAAGGAAGAGAATGAAAGCGATACTGTACAGGATCAGGACGTATGAAACATGTGTGATCCCAGCGTCACTGAGCAGTTGCATTTGTTCTTCGGTGGCGCCCATGAAGAGGAACCCAGAAGCGTACAACAACTAGCATCGAGTCAGTACGGTAGCTCAGAAATCGAGAGTGACCAGGCGACTTACGAAAGGCGTGAGATACTGAAAGCTATTCGGGTCGGAACCGTCCGGGCTGACGGTGCCCTTGTCTCTGAGCACAAAGGAGATTTCGATAATCCTGGTAAAGCCGGCTGCCATCAAGGTGTAACCGAAGATGGAGTGGATCATAGTACTGATCATCAGATGCTGGGGGTGAGCGGACATGGCATAACCGGTGAGCAAAATAACCAGGGCTGGGATGAGATTGCGCTTGGGGCGGCCATTGCGTTTCCGGCTCAGCCAAATACCCAGCAGCCCGGCACACCACCAAACAATTCCCATCGTGGTATGCTGTAGATCGTTGTGCACCCAGGGACCTCCCCACCGGTGCTCAGTGAAGGTGTTGACGCATCCCCAGGCGGCGATGATCAGCGAGTCGAAGAACTCCTGGCTGCGTCCCGTGCGGCGCAGCCAGTACTGACCAACGAGGAGCAGGATGGTGAGCAGAATTCCATAGGCGATGAAAGCGCTGCCCATGATGAAGTGAGCCAGACACTGTCCCAAGTGGTCATCCCGGCAGAAGCCCATGGCCGTGATCCCTCCAAACAGCATCTGAACCCAGCTTGCGACCGGCATGGCCTTGCCGACGACTCCGTGCGCAACCACCATGACCCGACGAATCCGCCCGTGGATACCCTTGGTGAGGTGTAGCTTGAGATAGACGCCCAGGACGATTTGAACCACCATCATCAACATCAGTGTGTTTGCGAAAGACGCATGGACATTCTTGGCGAATTGGCGACCCTTGTGAGCATGGCCCAGGAAGTATGCGACTACTGCGACAATTGTGCCGACAATCTGGAGAGGGACATGCCAGCGCGACCGTACAATCTAGTTGTCAAGCAGGAAACGTTAAAGGCCCAGGTCCATACACCTCAAGTATAACTCCGCAGCCACTCAAATGAGACTGTCGGAGATAAGTACGGAGAGAATTGTACTTACCCCGAGAACCATACCCAAGGGGAAAATGATGCCAAAGGCAAGTCCCATGAGAATCATATGTAGCCATAGAGTTGAATCCTGAGGGACAATTTGTCAGCTTTGAGACAGAAAGGAGGGGGGTTGTAGCTCCAAAGCAAGATGAAACCTACAATCGGATCTTCGGAGATGGCGGCACCGTCAGGGACATTTTCATGGCCTTCGTGAGCGCACGCTGGGATGGCCAGCAGCAAGGTTACCAGCAACCCGGACAGGTGAGATCGACTCGTTATTGCCATGGTTGCCACTTCCTTTTTCTTTCTGGAGGGAACCCGAAAGAAAAAAAAAAAAAGAGTGTGTAGGGAGGGGACAATAGGGAGAGAAGAGAGATGGAGGATGTACAGAGAGGGAGGAAAGAGAGGGAGGGGACAAAGAGCGGGTGAGTAAGAGAGAGTGTTGGCCGATCGGATGGCGGAGGAGAGGACGTAAGCATCCACAGCCGGCATCTAAAGCGCATTCGGGCAACGCGGATTGGACCACGGGCTCCGCATTTCTATACTTATACTGAGTAACCTATCTTTAACTTGGTAACTTACAGGATTCCAGAATTCCATAAGAACCATCCGTGACTACTTCGTAACTACTTGGAAAAGGAACTAACAAATTACTCATACTCCACACTACCTTATTGCTTCTGTACAGAACTGTGTACATACAGTACAGTACGATACCTGGTCAAGTGGTATGTAGTTCACCTCTTTTTCAAGTTAACCCTTTTATTTCACTTTGTTTCTTCATTGCCACTGATACGAACCCCAGGAGATTCCTAATCTCCAATTTAACAATTAATCTGCTGGACGGGATCATTATCAATCATCATGCCATCTCCGCGAGGCTCCACCGCCGAACCCGCCAACAAACCTACATCTCCAGCCGACCAACAAGCATTCAAAGAGAAGAAGCTGGTACG